GATGTTTCACTGTCACTCAGAGGCGTTTCACTGTCACTCAGAGACGTTTCACTGTCACTCAGAGGCGTTTCACTGTCACTCAGAGGCGTTTCACTGTCACTCAGAGGCATTTCGTATCTGAGGTCCCAAAAACACATCAGTCAAACAATGTGAATCATGAAAGGCAATCAATTTTATTAATAATAAAACACACAATAAAATAAACAGTTTTTGATATTCTCTTTATGTACATCAGTGAGCTTAAACATCATCATTTCAGGGTCTGCTTGGAGGGGGCTGGGGGCATCTTGCCGTTTTCTATTTCCGAGCCACGGTGCTGTAGACGACCTCGTGTGGATCTGCTGCAGCCTGGGGAAGCAGACAGAGGATCCTGAGTTTAGCTTGAGGTGCATTTCAGCTTTGGGGTTGCAGCTGTGCAGGGGGGTCATTTCACTCACTGACTGACTTTGCAAAATGTTAACACACATTTTACAAACAGCTACATAGTTTTTTAGTTTGTATATTGTGTTTTAATAAACATTACCAAAACCGAGATGTGAAAATTCGACAATTATGCTTTTACATTTTATACAGAATAATATTGCAGATTTTCATCCTTGATGTTTGTCAGTCATGGGTTTGTGATAAATTATTTTATTTTGAACACATCTAAATGATGCTTTGTTTGTCTTCTTGTAAATACATGAACATCATTAATATTTATCTTTGGTAGCTCGTGGCATTTCAGGCCACAACTGCATATAAACAAGTAAGACCAGAAACAAAGGTGCTGACCAAGATGATCTCTCACTCTGCCCCCTGGTGGACACAACTCTTAACCCTCCAGACTGATGCAACCTATACTGGGACGTATGAGTAGCAGCACCACTTAGGAATGACAGCACAGGTAAGTGTACACATTGCAAGCATTGAGTTTAACCGGGCGTGAGGGAGGACACACTGTTACTAGGCTGCATTGTCTTCAAGACTGTGGCAGCACTGTTTCAAGCTGCAGAAATTAAATGCATGGATTTTCATTTATGCCACAATCAATATGCAACTCCAGGAAATTTAGGTTAGAAATAATGGTTCATGATGGATGGATGAATGGATGGAAGGAAGGATGGATGGGGCTCAGTTTATGTTCAGTTTACCAGGTTCTTACCATGTTGTCTAATGGCACAACCTGAATATATGAACGTGCTGTATTTCTGGCTTTTGCTGTTACTGAGATGTATGTCACTTCATCCCCGGGTTCTACAGTGGGCTGGAGAGGGAAGAGATGCTGTAAATGGATACTGTAATCATGTACCATTACTTTTACACTGTATAATTACAGAGAGGACGCGCACTGTAAATGGATACTGTAATCATGTACCATTACTTTTACACTGTATAATTACAGAGAGGACGCGCA